CAACGATTGGACTAAATAAAATTGCTTGGCAATTAATAAGAATTTATTCAATCGTTTAATAAATATCCTATTTGTTTTTATGTTACCTTGACCATAATGGGAGCCATTCCTACATATTTAGTTTCGAAATTTGTATTGCCATCATTTACTTTCCAACATAATTTAATATTCATTTTTCCCGCATATGTAGTTAATCTTTCGCGACACTAGAAGTTTTATGTATTTGTTAAGTACAATAAATTAGGGAGATGATGAAAATTACATCATACCTCGGCAGGATAGATCTTCCTCATTGTTGACGCCCGGACATGTTCAGATAAAAGTGGTTTAGAAATTAAAATTTCATCTATCCAAACTTGATAAAGAATGAAAACATATTAAAGCTTGATATAGCGTATAAAAATAAAAGAGCCAAAAGTACCTTTTAAATTGTTCCCTTGTGCGGGACTGTTATAAGGGACCTTAACATCGAATATTTCAACTGGATCAATATCGACAACTGCATAATTAAGGATTCCCTTTGTGGGTGGTTCTAATAAACTATTAAAAGAATCTATATGTGGTTTAACAAGCTTTTGTAGTTCCGGTACTCCAAATTTTTTGCTACTTGGATTTAGAAATAATTTCTCGCGTTCACACGTATTAAAAGTAGATGTCATGTTTAATGAAAATATTTTTTAAGATGAATTTTTTATAGCAGATCTTCCTAAAAAGTATAAAGCTTGATTAATTCTGATTGGCTAAAACTATGTCAACCTAAAAAATTTCACTGGCCAATCATATTTCAAGATCAGGTGTGACACAAGATGATTCTCGATTTTGATTGGCGAAGAACGACATGTTACTCAAAATTTTACTAATAAAACCACAGCCGCACATTAATTGTGCGGGCCTATTTCTCTAAAAATTTACATTTTCGGAATGAAAAAGTTAAAAAGTTAATTCCGGCCAAAAATTATGTAAACAATTATGTAATGCGGGCCAAAATTTTGTAGATCACGGCCGTTAGCCAATCAAAATCGAGAATCATCCGTGACAAAATTGGTGCGGCAGCTATGTCCAATATGAATCCACCTACTGCGCATTAACAAAAAGGTTTCCTTGCGAAATTTTTGTACCACTAAAGCTCTTTTTAACTTAAATTAATAACTAAAGTTTTTTTAACGAAATTTTTTAGGTTGGCCGACAAGCTAAAAATAAAAATTAACTATGGTTCGCGCTAGTGGTCCGTCGGTTGATAAGCCAACCGGTTTAAAATTGGTTGGCTAAAAGTCAGGTCAACTATCGATGATCAAATCCTCTTTTTTCCATAATACATTTAATGAATTTGCTTAGATCATATAAAAGTCTTAATTACGTATGAAGATTTTAATTTTATATACAAGTTTTTTTTTAAGATCTGAAAAATACAATAACGGAAATACAAAAGACATTATTTGGCGAAAAATATATTTGCTATTCATGATCTTGAAACACCACCAAACTTTATGAAATAACTTATTTAGTTTGACTAAAACCTACTTGTGTTCGTTTAGTTCCGACAAGTTTCTGAATTGGATAGTATTTTTTAACGCTTATAACGTCTAAAAAAAAAAAAATTGAAATTGTTTTGTGATAGTAGTTAGTATCCATAAATGTAAAATATTTGTATACAGACGACTCTGGATATACCGAATCTGCTTATACCGAACTCGGGTTATAACTAGAGTTCCAATCCGTTATCCATTTATTCATATCCGGATAAATTCAGATCGGATACTTGGATAACGGATTACGGATATATGGATAAACGGTTAATTGATTGGAACTCTAGTTATAACGATCCAGATCTGGCAGAATCGATTTTTTATAAGAATTTAGGTTGCCTATACTTAACTTATATAGTAAATTTTTATATACTGTATCCAAACCTTCTTTACCAGTTCAGGATTATATACACACTAGCATATAACCCATGCCAAAGGCATGAAATCAACTTATTGATAAATCTAATCAAAAGTTTGATACAATACACAGATATTGAAATATTGTCGGGGATGATGCTGAAATCGGATGATGCTGAAATTTGGGGCCTTAATTTGAAAATATAAACCCTACTAAAATCCACCTATACTCTTTTATTATAAACACTAACCCTAAATTCTAATCGAACTATGAAAAAAAAGCTGAACAAAACACCCCAAAAAAATTTTACATTTTCATAATAAAATAAGTCAAAATTTCAGCATCATCCGATTTCAACATCATCCCCGACAATAACTAAAAAAAAATAAATAAATTAAAAAAAAAAAAAAATAAATAATAGTTTTTTAAAATAGTTTAAATAAACCTGTTTTTAAGTAATACATGTCTAAAAATGGTTAGTCTTTTTTATATTTTATATAATAAAATATATAAAAAATATATAAAAAATTTTACAAAATTAAATAACTTATAACTTTTTATCTACTAAATCAATTTTTATGATTTTACTATCATTAGAATCAGAAAAATTAGCTTTACAACTTTTATTAAGAATTTAAAAGAATTTTATTATATAGAATTTTTGCTATTTATATTTTAGTAATTTTTGTTTACAGTTTTTATAACAGCTCTAATTTTTAAACTTGCTAATATAACTTTTATTAAGATAGCTAACTTTTAAATATACCAAAATAAAATATAAATAGAGGATTATATATTTGATAAATTTAATTTAAAGTTAATAATAAACTTTTTTTACAATTTAATTTTTAAAACTGTATTAAATTTAATACAATGTACTAAATTTAGTACAGCAAACAGATATTTATTAAAATAATATAATTATATATTTTATTTAATTTTAAACATTTTGACTTAGAAAGTTAAAATAGATTGTCTTAATAAAATTTTGAACAATTTTAATATTTAAAAATATTCAAGATGTTTAAACTTTGTCTAAAAGCTATCCCATAATATCTCTAAATATAGCTAACTAGATCTTTTTCTTTTAAATTGCTTTATAAAAACTATAGTAGTTTCTTTCTATAAATGCAAGTTCTGTATATTCTAGTTTCCCTCTGTTATACTACTATAATTCATTATAAAGCTTTTCTATTTATGTCTTAGCATCTTCTTCTATAATAAATTTCTTCCTGATATATTCTGCTATTATTTATTTTACTTGTATATCTATCTCTTTATTGGTTATTATTATTGTTATATTCTGGATAGCTTCTAATATTACTTCTGCATCTTCTAATATATCAAATTTTTTTCCAAGATATTCTGCTAATATTTGCTTCACATAACTTGTTGTTTTCCTATAGTTGTTGATTGTTGTTGTTTGTTGTGGTTGTTTATTAGCTTTGTTTATATTTGTTACATAGTTTTTAGTATGTTTTTTTTGTTTATTCTTCATTATATGTTATGATTCTTGTATTACCAAAACAGATTTACAATTTAGAGTCAAGACCAATTCTCTAAAATTTCATATAATACAAGAAAATGTTGATGATTTTCTAAGACTTCTACTATATATTGCCAAAATAAACTACCTTTAATAATAAGCTACCTTCTTTTTTTAGAAGAAAAACATAAAAATATCTTATATTCAAAAATAATCTACTTAATAATTATCAGTAGTTACTCTATAGTAAAGTTAAAAATTTACTAAGTAAATCAATATAGTTTATTAAATAAAAGTTGTTCAGAAGATTAAAAAATATATTTTTTAAAAATTTTATCTAAATTGGATAACTTTTATTAATATATTTTTTCATGTTATATTTAATAAATTTTTTAAAATTTCTTTAATATTTCTTTAAAATTCATATATATTGAACATAAAAATCAAAAGTCAATTAATATAAAGTTATCCAATTTATATAAAACTTTCAAGATATATGTATTTTGATTTTCTAAATATTGATTTACTTAATAAACTTTTTCACAATTAGCAAAAATACTTTTTCTAATAATAAGCTACTCACAAAATTTTTTATAACTTTTTAGCTAAAAATAGTAGTTTATTTTTAGATATATATAGTATTTTTTTGCTACTTCTGCTCTTCTTACTCAAGTCTCTTAAGAGACTGGGTGTTTCTTGTATTTTTTTTCTCTTTTTTAGAGATTCAAGTTCATTTTTTGTAGTTTTTTGTTATTTTTTATTTGGAACGTGACAAAAATCAGGTGATTTTTTAAAGGAGGAAGGAGGTAAAAAAAGTTAAAATTATATATAAGAATCTGATTTTTTTTTATATTAAGAGGGAAGGGAAGTAAGCCTCTGATAAAAAATAATCAGATGATAAATGATACTGCTCTTTTCAAAAATTTGTATTTTAATAATTAGCAGAAAGAGTTGATTGAATTTAGATTTATATTACTAATTATACTAACTATTAATATTATATATATAGAAAAATTTTAGATATCTCTAGCTAAAGAAGCATAAAAGACTTTCAAATCTGATAATCTCTAAAATCAATATTATATAAATATTTATATAGCATAGTACTATAAAACCAGAATTTTTAGGTTTAAACAATTTAAAAAAATAACTATTGATACAATATTTTACTAATAAAATAGCTTTCTAGCAAAAGTCTCTTCAAGAAAACAAAGTTAAATCATGCTGAATTGTGCAATAAAAAGTAGATATACTAAGAGTTGAAATACTGTTCACTATATAGCAAAAGGTAATAAAAATATATTATATTGCTTAATTTATAAACTTTAATATCATTCTTTTTTTAGTTTTTTTTACTATTTTTCTTTTATTATTCAAATAATTAACTTTTTTATTTTATTTATAAACTTATGCAGATTGTTTTTAAAAGTTATATATATTCTTATAAAATGTTTTATTAGTTATAGATGAAGTTAAAAATATTAATAAAAAATATATAACTTGTTATAAAAACCTTTTTAATAAAGCTCTTGTATTTGTAAATTATATTTTAATCTGGATGAATAGCTTTATTCATTTATAATATCAGTTAGTTTGTTTTGAAGTTATATATGAAAGAGATTATAATATATAAATTGTGCTTATTTGATTAGTTAGTTTGTTTAATGATTATCTATCTATTTTTACAGAGTGTATCATGTGAATAAAAACTATTTTATAATTAGCTAATTATCTTATAATCAGATCTGTATATTTCTGAAAAATGAGAAAGTCTTTCATGCTGGCCAAAGATGTTTAGCTTATATATTTCTGATTTAAAACTATGTTTGATTATATAATTTAATTATAGTTAAAGCTATAAAGAGCTAGATAAAAACAAGTTTTATAAATAAAATTGTTTTCTAATACTTTTAATTAGTATTTTGATAATGAAAATTTTAAAAAAACTCTTTTCATAAATCCTTTACACAAACTTAAATAAAAATTCGTACATTATAAATTTGCTAATATCTCAATAATTTATTAAAGAAACAGACATTTGTTGTTTAAGAAAAATTGTTTCTTACATAGTTTTACATATATCCTACAAGTTTCAAGTTCTTAGCTTGAAAACTCGTGATAAAAATGTTAAAAAACTAGTTTTGGTTTTTTAAACCAAACTTTTATTTATTTCTCTAAAACTGTCTTCACAACTCT